CCGGAGAAACCCTCGCACTCACCGGCAGGTAAAGCAGTACGCAAAGCGCAAGAAGGAGCTCGGCTCGCATGGCGATGCGAAGCGAGCCGGCCCGCGGCGGCCCGGCGGCGGCTCAGTCTGTGCCCCGAGGACGAAACCCTTCTCGGCTGGCGTAGGCGAGGCCGTGGCCGCAGAGCAACCAACTTAACGGCGCCCGGGGCTCCGGCCCGTGGAATACAGCTACAGGTGAGAGCAGAGAAAGTGCTCCAACTACGACGACGGCTTGAATGAGCTCAGCTTTCCCTTCCGCCAGCTAAATTAAGTCCATAGCCCCTCCCCTACCTCGCTTTTGTCCCTCCCACCGTAACCCCCTGATTCATCCTTTCCCTCCGGCGTATCACTGGGAGGAACGCCCTCGACTGCAGCCTGCGGCTCTCCAGATCGGTCCTGGCGTTAGACTCGTTAGCCGAAGACCATCACTTCCGAAGCTGAGTTGGTGCAACACACCAGGTTAATGCGTGGCTGCTCAGTCTGGGGCTCTCTGAGCCGTGCTAACTCAACTAGTGTGGGTAGTTGGACTGAAAGCCCGTTGGGCACCCCCCACCCCGCTGGACAGGCTCTCCTGAGGTTAAACTGGATCGTTGTTTACTCAGATAACCCAGGTTTCTCAAAATAGCGGGTCATAGGAGCAGCGGTGAGCAAAGCCATGTTAGCAAGACATGCTGACCTATGATTTATATAACCATTGTTTCTGATTTAACCCTATTGATAGGGTTTGTATAATATTAATCTGCCAAACAGTTAACTGGTTGGGCTTGCACAGTAGTCTAGCCATATTTTAGCATCACATATTGCATGAACCCAGATTGTGGCTGATTAATTTAATGTAACCCAGTTTCCCACATTTTCGAGATATTCTAACCAATTAACTACATAGGCTGAGTTCATACAATACAGCAAGTTAATATGCAGTTGGCAAGTTTGTGGTTTTCCATGTTGTGTAAACGTAGTCAATATTCATGCTATCCCATCAACAGCACTGTCAAAATTGAGCAGTGCTGACCATACACAATTTTATCCAGGTCCTCTCCAATTCCTCGATTTCTTTGCATTGTTCATTTAAGAAGGCCTTATCTCTCCTTGATATTCTCTGGAAATCTGCATTCAGTCCTTTATATCTTTCCCTTTCACCCTTGCTTTTC